TCTTCCAGCCTATAGGACCCCAGATTCTATATATTTTGACAGCCGGGCACTGTCAGCTTCCTTCACCGTATTTGCCTATTATTGTGCCAATCTTGATGTAGAAGTTGCTTCAGTCTGTGGCCCTTTGCCTCTGAGCTGAGGAGCTTCGTGCCTGCCACAAGATATCCGTGGCAATGTCTGTGATGTTCCAATAACTCCGTCCTTGGTGTGGTCTAGTGTCTATAGCATTCTACATGTGGCTGCACCTACGATTATGTATGTAGAAATATTCACCAACCTGTATCTGCAAAAAAATATGCTTGCTTGCACCCTCCCACACCTCTTTGGCATACCTGTCGACCTAGGCATCCCTTCACAAATTGCTTGTTAATACTGTTGTTGCAGAATTGTCATGTCATTGTTAGGTACCGTCGACGTGGTTCCGACCCATAGTGATCCTGTGTACAGCAGAGCAAAACACGGCCCAGGCCTGTGCCACCCTCACAACTGTCATCTGCAGAGTTGTGTATGGTCATGACCATGCTTGCCTTTGTTCTGCAGTTCCCTTGGATCAGTGGCTTCCTCGCTTGGCCCTGGCATATTGACTTCTCCCTTGTTGTAGATGACCTTTCCTGTCACCATTTTCAACACACGTCTTCTATTGTGTTAGGAATCTCCCCTCCCTCCTTATCCTATCTGTGGTACCATGGGGGGTGGGGGAAAAAGCTGGTTTGGTTTTGTTTTTTTTGCCCTCCCTATGTAAACCTTATCAATTCTCTTTCTTTTTAAAAATAGGTGGTCATATACAGAATTTTTCTTTTCGTGAATTTAATTTCATTCAGCATAATAGCCTCCAATCCATCCATATTGTGAGGTGTTTTATCGGAGTTGCAATTATTATTTATTGCTGCATATTGTTCCATTATGTGTGTATCATAGATTGCTTATCCATTCAGCGATTGATGGGTATTTAGTGGTTTCCACATTTTTGCTGTTGTGAATATTTATGTCAAATAAAGTTCTTATTTTGTTAGGGGTGGGATTGCTGGATCATATGGTGTTTCTATTTCTAGCTTTGTAAGGAAATGCCACAGTGGTTGTACCATCTTACCTTTGCCCCCCACCCCCCCACCCCCGCCCCAAAACAAAACAAAAAAACCCACTGCCACTTGGGTCCAACTCCTATGTAGGGCTCTGAGACTATAGATGTTTACCGAAGACAACCTCATCTTTGTCCTTCATGGTGGCTGGTGGGTTTGAACCACCTACTCTAGAGTTGGCAGCCCAATCCTTATCCCACATAAGCAACAGGGCTTCTTACATTCCCACCAGTGGCATTTAAGAGCTTCAGTCTCCCCACAACCTTGCCAACATTTGCAATTTTCTGTTGTTTTGGATTAGTGCCATTATTGTCAGGGTGAGATGGTATTTCATTGTAGTTATGATTTGCATCTCTCTGGTAGTTAGTGAAGGAGCCCTGGTGTTGTAGTGGTTGCTCATGAGTTGCTAACTGCAAGGTCAGCAGTTTGAAACCATCAGCCACTCCTCAGGAGAAAGGTGGGGCTATTTACTCCTGCAAAGAGT